TAATTTTCCACAATCCTCATTTAATTTTTTTTCGTCTTGTTTTTCAGTATAACAGTTACATTTTTCCTTTTCTTTGCGGAGAATTGTAAAATTGATAAATAATTTATTACTGCCATCATGGTCAGTATATATAATGTGCACTAATAAATGAAAGAACAACTTTAACATCAATAAATGATTCTAATGCTTCGACAATAAAGAGTTTTTTTAGCATTCTTTTTTTTTCTTTGCTATTTTAAAACTTCAAAATTAAATTTACAAAAATCGTTCGTTCTACATAAATGAAAAAATCAAATTGTTTTCGACTCTGAAGTTAACTACGCGTAATAGTAATGCACAATAATAAAAGAATAGTAAAAGAAGAGACATTTTTATTTTGAAAAAGAATACACGGAAAAAAGCATGTAGTTTCATAATAATAATAATAATAATATATGAGTAAAATTTCAAATTATACATTTGTAAACTTCCCATGATAATTATCATTGCAATATACATACAATAATGATAATGCTTTATTCATCTCCAGGACACACATTTTTACATAATTTGGAACATTTGGTGGTCCTATTTTATCATTATCATTCATTATTGCTACTTGTATCAAGCGGTTTTACTTACATCAAGCGTTTTTATTTACGTCGTATGTTTTAATTACGTAAGTGGTTTTACTTATGTCAAGGGCTTTTACTTTAGTCAAATCGTCAAAATGACCCTGGTGAGAAACTACCTTTGGTCAATACTTTAGTTACGTCAATGACTAAAGTCAAAAGTTTCGTCATACATCATTAATGACATCATATAAAAAATATCATGAAATTAAAGAGCGACATGACATAATTCGATCATAAAATTTGCTGTGCCAGATCTATAAATTTAACGAGCTTTGATTGTAATAGCGACTGTAAAAATTTCATTTTTCTAAAATAATAAAAAAAAACTTTGACCAAATTTTTTTTCCAAGTATCCTTCACTTCAAAAAAAAATTTGAAACCGAAGATCAACGTGACAATTCTTGATATTCTAGAACAATAGTATCTAATGACCCCGGGGCCCTAGTATCTCATACTATTAAAAATATATTGATGGTGAAGGTCACCCAAAATTAATTAACGGCAAGTCTGCTGAACAAATGAAAACAAATTAATGAAAAAACAAATAGTAATGTTCCAACTAATACTATTTATTAGAAGAACTTTACAATGAATTAAATATTTGTTCTCACACAGAGTCCGCTTTTAAATGGTCAACAAAGAATCAATCAATGAAATTAGACGGTGTCTTGAGAGAAGGATTTGGACCGGAGCTGGCTGCGTAAATCAAATGAGCATTTGGCTAAACTGACTAAACTATTTAGTCATATGTTAAGTCAAGTTTAGTCAAGTTTAGTCAAGATGATTGTTACTAAATTAGGTTTTTAACCCCTTTACGCTGCCAGCCCTGATTTGGACGGTTATAAAATGGAAATCTGTCATTTGGAGTGATGAAAGCAGGTTTACAATCTATAAAAGTGATGGACCAGGACGTGTTTGAAGACCTAGTTGCAAATAATCGCGGCATATAAAAATTTAATTGCGGTTCCCTTAAACATGACTTCACCCAACTGTAAATTTTGAGACGGGGCTTGATGATGTGATGTTGTTTTTTCAGCGAAGGATTTAGGCCTATTGATGAAAGTGGATGGTAAATTAAATGACTTATGGTATACGCAAATACTGAAACAATTTGTTACCTTTAATCGAAAAGGACTTTAATAGGAAGGGTATTTCCATCAAGATGATGACAATGTCCGGAAAAGTTGTAAAAAATTGATTTTTTAACAAATGAAACCAATGTTTTGTTTAATTAGCCAAGCCAGTCCCCTGACTTAAAATATTAATGAGTTGGAGTCCGCATCACAGGAAAAATTCCATGAGATGTTCCTATTAAGAGGAGAATAGAACAAAATATTGATTTTATATATATATATCCTTCCTTATCAGATGTTGAAAAAAAAATAGGCAAAGTTTTTAATTATTATTTATTAGAGAAATGAGGTTTTACACATATATCCACAAGAACCTAAGCTACAAAATGGCTTTATAATTATTATGTATGTGCGTGTGACATCAATTATTATTATAAGTAGCACATCTATGTAGAAATATTCACTTCCAAGATTGATGAATGGTGACTGATTTAATTATTTGCCCTCGATATTATTATTATTACAATTAAAATTATCACATTACTTAATCGTAGAAATTATTGGAGATGAAGAAGATGATGTTGGTCTGAACAATTGCGGAGGAGTTGGCATCGTAAACATTATGGGAATTGAGAGAATTTAGAGATGATAATATTGAAAGTGGAAAAAATACAAAGGTTGTATGATGACTACTTTACATTTCCTTTTTTTTGGTCGATGAGCATAATTGGGATAAATAGATAGATTCATTAGCCATTGAGCAATAATTGAAAATATGCCTAATCTCAGCATTAGAATTCCATTCATTGGACGCAACTTTTTAACATAATCAAGTCTAGATCCGCACTCTGGTCCTATTTACATTATTAATCTTGCTTGTAAATTTCTATATATATGATAAATCAAAAATGTATTTTGTGGTATTTTAAATAAAGAAGAGGAAGGAGATGATAATAATATTGATAATATTCTAGATGAAGATCTGACGGTTCTTCTAGGATATGGTAAAGCAATTCTTTAATTGGTATGAAGTATTTTGTAAAGTTTAGTATAAAATCGAAGAAACTAGCCGATCAATCAAGTCCGAGGCACATAATTTAATGTTGGCGAAGGGACTAAAAGAGATGGAGGAGTTGGAAGATATAGAGGAGGAAATAGAGTTGTTATTAGTACTAAAAGACATCTTTTTGTAACAATGCGAAAGAAAAAGCTTTTTCAGCAAAATTATTACTTTTTTGTTATTAAATTCACATGACATTTATTTATGTTTCACACATAAACTTGACCAATTGTTACGAGCATTAATTTTTAGAAATTTATTCTGTTCTTAAGTAATGGCTGTTAGTATAACTTTTTTAAATTTGATTTCGTAGATTCTATTAAATTTTGTTAGGTTAAAAGACAATTGTCCTTTCTATATATAATTTCAAAACAGGGTTTGTTTAATTTTAGTGCACCTGTTGATATAGATATTCGTTTCAATGGAGAAGAAAATAGGAAATTAGTAGAAGTTAAAGTTGATAAAGATAGGCGTGAAAAGTTCCCTTTATACTTTGATGGCGAGACTGTTGCTGGTAAAGTAAGTAGTGAAAATTAATTCAATTTTTAAACAAAACAAGCCAGCTAAATTAGTTTTATGCTATTTTACTTTTATATAGATAACGATTAGACCAAGAGATGGTAAAAAGATTGAACATCAAGGAATCAAAATTGAATTTGTTGGGAATATTGGTATTTGATACACGCACATATATATTAATAAACATACAACTATTTTTTTTATATTTTTAAAATAAATAAATTTTTACTAAAATAACAATAATAACATCTTTGATCATTAATCTATTTAGAACTTTTTTATGACCGTGGTAATCATTATGAGTTCACTTCATTAGTCCAAGAATTAGCGGTACCAGGTGAATTGAGACATCCGCAACCTTATGAATTTGAATTCAAAAATGTCGAAAAACAATATGAAAGCTATCATGGAATAAATGTTAAATTGAGATATTTTGTAAGAGTTACAATTTCAAGACGTTTAACAGATATTGTGAATGAAAAAGATATATGGGTTTATTCATATCGTATGCCACCAGACAGCAATAGTTCTATTAAAATGGAAGTTGGTATCGAGGATTGTTTACACATAGAATTTGAATATAATAAATCAAGGTAAATCAAATAAATTTCATAACCAATATATATTGTTTGTGATTGGTATGATATTAATTTTTAGCGCTTAATCAAAAGATACCATCTTAAAGATGTGATTGTTGGAAAAATTTATTTCTTACTTGTGCGTATAAAAATTAAACACATGGAATTATCGATTATTCGTAGAGAAACAACTGGTGCAGGTAAATGTTCTTGATTTATAATTAGTTCTATATAATTGGATTCTATGTTATAATAATATATTTTATTATTATCGTTACATCTATTTTATTGTTGTGATTATTAAAAGCTCCAAATCAATATAATGAAAGTGAGACAATTACAAAATTTGAAATCATGGATGGTGCACCAGTTAGAGGAGAGACTATTCCTATTCGTTTATTTCTGGGAGGCTTTGAATTAACTCCAACTTTTCGTGACGTGAATAAAAAATTTTCTACTCGTTATTATTTAAATCTTGTACTTGTTGATGAAGAAAATAGAAGGTATTTTAAACAACAAGAAATCACAATTTATAGAAGAAAAGGTATAAAGTAGCTTTAATATTAATAAATAAAGTGAAATAAATATAAAATGAATACTAATATTTCCTTTTTTTTTTTTTGTTTCTATAGACGATGGACTTTCACCAAATGATCCTAAATAAATTATTAGAATAATTTTTTCTATAATGTAAATTTATTTATTATCAATATCATTTTAATAACTGAATTAAAATTTGTATAATATTTATCTTTAAATGATCTCCTTTGATCAACTATTTCTTAAATCACACCACATATTATTATTATTATTAATAAAGAAAAAATCTTTAATTTTTTTTTTTAAATAAGATGAAAGGGGAATCCTTTAAATAAGTCAAATCAGGATTTTTAAAGATCTGTAACTTCCATATTAATACGTAAACTGGATAAGTCGGACGCAGCAATCAATTGTTTAAAGTAATTGATAATATAAATAAATAATCCGATGTGTATAAAATTTATATAGTTGGTTAATGCATCAAATTTAGTCGTGGTTACAAATTTCCATACCCGTCGTTATAATTTTTTTTTTTTGAAAAAAAAAGGATAAAAAAAAATGTATTACTGATATTTAAAAACGCCTAATCTTTAGCTTGATTATAAAATTAGTAAATATGGAAAAACCTACAACATCTCCAAAACAAACTACAGAAGCAAATCGTGTCACCTTTGTTTTTCCTCCCAAAAAATCTTCGGAAGAATCAAGTCGGATTCCTTCTCTAATATCAGTTTCTCCTGCTAATTTCACTTTAAAACAACCACATTATCATGCTCTTTATCGTCCCTCACGGCGTGAAAAATTAGCTGTTGAGGTTGATAATTGTGCTATCGGTAGTGTCTGGAAAATAGTGGATGCTTTCCTCAACATCTTATTATGTATAATTTATATATCATACACTGCTTATATCAGAAAATCTTTGCCGCCGGTGAATGTGTGCTTGGAAGTAATAGTATCATTACTATTAATAATAGAATATGTTCCAAAATTTTATATTTATGAATTTGATTCATGGAAGTCACTTTTCACCAGACCTTTGCCACTCCTAACACTCCTAACAATCCTTCCTACTGTCGCCACTGCTCTTGATCCTGTGTTCGAAGAAACTCGTTACATTGTATTTTTTTACCCTTTTCGATTTATTCGATGTTTTTTATCTGTATATGATTGTTTAGTTAGAAGTGAAAAATCTATCATCAAAATTGGTCAAGTTACTAGTAAAGTATTAATCTTTTTGACATCCATTCTTTTTCTTATATTGACCGGATCGGCCTTGTTACATGGTGTTGAATATGCCTATATGGTAAGCAAAATATCTAGTATACATTTATATTTAATTATTATTTATCAATTATTATTTTCATATTTATCTATTTATGGCCTGTTTGATTTATATATTTATATTTGTAGGCTGTTGATCTTACATTCTTGGATGGTAATAATTCATGTAATCTTTTTATAATTTACTTAAAATTTTTATTAATCTGGTAATTTTATTGATAAATAGCTGTTTTCTTTACAACTATTATGTTGGGCACTGTTGGTTATCTTAGTGAAATAGTACCTGATAATGCCTTCCCTAGAGTTCTTCTTTTGGTGATGTTTACAACAGGTCTTATATTTATTCCGGTAATTAGTCAAATCAATTGTATTTTCTTTTTATAAAAAACCAACCAATTATACATGAATCGATCATTTATTTATTAATTTCTCATCTAGTATTCTATATCTGAATTGATTGCATTAATACGCTCAAAATCTATTTATGATAAATCATTCAGAACAATATCACAACAACCCCATGTCATCATCATTACTCCAACAATAGAACTACCCTCATTAAAGCATTTTTTAAAGGAATTTTATTCATTAGCACATGGCCTTGAAACTTTCAACACAAAAGTATTACATCAAGAGTTTTTTGGAGTTCCAAACAAAACTTTAAATTACATTTGCTTGTTTGCTTGTTATTTATATATTTATGTCTTTTATCAATAATTTTATTTAGGTGGTAATTTTAAATCCTACAGAACCAAATGATCGTTTAAAGTCATTTTTATTAGATCCTTTATATGCACATCGTGTACAATACATTAGGGGTAGTTCACTCGAATCACGTAGCTTAAAAAAAGCAAATGCAAAAAAAGCCTCTGCATATTTTATTTTAGCCAAAAAATATACACAACAAAGTGATACTATTGACGCAGAAAATGTTTTAAAAGCAATGGTAAATAAACACTTTTTTTAAAAAAAAAAAAAAAGGAATTCAATGTAATTATTTTCTAATAACCTAATTAATAATAGGCATTAAGTAAATACGATGAAGGTCCTAAACTTTATATTCAATGTATCCTTCCAGAAAATAAAGTTCATTTTGAAAATTTAAGTATGTTACAAAAATTTTTTTCTTTTTTTTTTTTTTTTGCTCTAAAAATATTTAATTAAATATTATTAAATAAACAAATAAACATTGTTTGTTTAGATCCTGAGTTAATATTATGCATAGATGAATTAAAACTTGCCATACTTGCTCATTCATGTCTAACTCCTGGATTTTCAACACTTTTATATGGTCTTACAACCACGTTCACTTATGAATCAGCTTATGAATTAAGGGATATTACCAAAACATCGGTTGGTTTGGACAATGGCTTCATTGAAGATTACATTGAGGGTATCTCTCAATCTATTTACACTACAACTTTATCAAATTATTTTGCTGGTTATACATTTCCTGCTATTGCTGGTTAGTGGATTATAAATTAAAATTTTCATTAAAAATTTTTTTAAAAATAGTTAATATATTATACTCATGAACCGATGAACGTATAGGTCGTTTATATGAAAGTTTAGGTGTTGTACTATTTGCTATTGGTATTCCGAAACAACGTTCTCTATTTAGACCATCAAATAATACATATTACCATGGTGACTGTGAGGAAGAAGATGCTAATAATTATATGGTTTTAATTAACCCTGGAGATTATATTGTAAAAGGAGATGAAGTTGGATTTATAATTGCTTGTGATGGTGCGCTGGCTGAAGGTGTTTCCAATTATGAACGACATAATTCGCATGCTCGAAACAATGAGGATTCATCTTTTGGGTCACAACAAATTTTTTCAGAAAGACATCCATTATTGTCATCTGACGCGTTAAAAAATAATGGTGGTGGTTCATATTTAGGTCTTCCTACAACTTCTGATAAAATATATCACGAGTATCCCTATAAACCAGACTTTAATACACGTCGTCAACGTGCACTTTCTACTCCTCTTGCTTTTGCAACAGATCATCACCTTGAACATCAACAACATCACAAGCAACACCACCATAATCACAGTATAGATCCTCCTTCCTCTTCCTCTTCATCAAATTCTCCTGATAATGATCACATGAATCCAATATTGGATACAATCCATGGACATATCCTCTTGTGTGATTATTCAACTGCAACTTTCCCACGTAATTTGGATTGTTTTGTTAGTCCATTACGTAAATCACACTTGGATAAGTTTAAACCAATTGTGATTCTTTCACCAGTAAGACCTACAAAAAGTCAATGGAAAATTTTAAGTCAATTTGATCAAGTATATTTTGTTGAAGGAAATCCAATGACACGAGAAGGCCTTGAACTCGGTAGAGTTAGATTTGCAAATAAGGCTGTGAGTATCATTAATAATTTCAGTTGGCTAAGCATCTTTTAAAGCCAACAATAATTTTTAAAAAAAAAAATTTTTTTTAAATCATTATTTATATTTTATTAAAATATCTAGGTTATATTAACTGATTCTACTAGAATTTTAAAGTAAATGAGGGGTTTTTTTTTAAAAAATTTAAGAATTTATTAAATTTAATCAATGACAAATTTCCAATCTTTCAATTTAATTCCTTTATCCAAAAATTAAACCATTAGGGATGGGGAAAAGACTGAAGACGCGCCAGCAATGTTGGTTTACTTGAACATTAAGGCAATGTCTAACGAGGGGGACATTGATGTGATTGTAGAGTTTGTACATACAAATAATATGAAATTTATATCAGAAGACACATCAGTTATAGACAAGAATATGCAAGGTAATCAATTATCTATTATTTAATTTTCATTATTTTTTATATATGTATAAATACTAAATTACATATATTTAAACAGCACATAATTCACCAGCTTTTATGGCAGGGACTTGTTTTTCTTTATCTATGTTGGATAGCATAATATGTCAATCGTTTTATCAACCACATCTAGTTGTTATCATTAATCAATTACTTTTTGGGGCTCCTCCACTTCATCTCCCTTCAGGTGCAACTTGTTCTGCACCTGCTCATTCGCACATGTTTCAAATTCCTGTGCCCGCAAGATTCATAGGTTCACAATATGGATCACTGTTTCATTTCTTATTGGGTGAGAAAAAATCTATTCCTTTGGGCCTATACCGTACTAATAAATTAAGCGCACCAAATGGTAAAACCAAATCCTTTAAATATGTATATACTTGCCCTAAATATAATGTGAGGTTGAGAGAAGACGATAAAGTTTTTGTGTTGAGCAAACGGATTCCATCTATATTGTAATCTATTTTTAAATTATTTCATTTAAAAAAAAAAAAAAAAGTAAAAATAATTAATTAATTCGACAGTAACCAACCACTAGTCTAGAAAACATTTTTGATTGGAAATTTCATCTCAAAAAATTGACAATGTGTCGCAGAAAGTTGTATCCTTTCCACGTGATCATGCAAATTTATTCCCAAGCAAACAGAGATTTGTTTGATTTTAATGATAAAGATCATTACTAGTTGGTACTTTTTTTTTTTGATTAACAAACTTACAATTGAGAATGCAACGTAATCCATTTGCCTTTTATTTTGGTCCAAGGCAATAGTCTATTTTATTAATATAAATAACCCACATTTTTTCATAGAAATAATTCAAGTTTAACCGTGAAATTAAAAAATTGCTACACGAATAATAATAAAATCGCATATACAAATTCCATTTGAGAAATAAGTAGTTAAAAAGTGAAAAAGCCTCATCACATTTCTCGATGGATGCATATATATAATCAATGAAAATAATGAAAAGAAGTGGTTGTTAAATATAAATGATTTGTATATAATAAAAAATGATGATAATACTTAATGGATGAGTCTTCTCATCCACACAAACTCCATTTCAACTCTTCCGCCCCATCATCATCTAATAAAAAAAAAAATAATTAAATAAGGATCAGCTGCATATTGCCAGAGATTGGTTTTCATGCAAAATTGATATATTCATATAATAAAAAAGGACGCGATTTTTACTAATTAATGATTTGAATTAACAACTTTTTTTGAGTCAGTCAATTTTTTACGACTATTATAATCAATCAATCTAAATTAAAGTTCTAGCTTTTACACCAAAAAAAATTATTAAACATAAGCGTTACACTTATGCTTATATTATTAGAAAAATTTAACTAGCTGATTTGTAATAAATTATTTCTTAGTGAAGAGAGCTTTGGTCCATTTATCTCAGCTTCAGCAAACACGATCAACCACAACATCCTCGATCAGAATCAAAGTGAAGATTTTCACTTCAACCGTTATATAAACCTCCCAAAGCATGTCATTCTGCAAGAAGGTGCAAAAGTGATGTTCCTTAACAACAAGTTGTTTGATCATAGAATTCGCAATTGGACAATCAGCGCGATGATCAAAATGCTAAAGTGGTCTTTCTGAAAACCCGCGATATCACAAAGGTGACTGATTGTGCAAAAAGAAACCACTTACTTTGATATCAATTGAAGTTTTGCATCAAGGCAACAATTTCCTCTGCAGAATGCCTTCGATCTTACCGTGAGGATTGACATTACCTCATGCAACTGTCAACATCGACGAAAATATGTTCGCACCTGGTCAAGTATACGTGGCTTGAGCAGAGGCTTTTTTGGGATTCGCTTGGGAACTTGGACTTCGAATTTGCTTGTATAAAGACTGATCAATCCGTGATTCAAGAATACGTAAGATTGATTAGCGTGAACTAGAGGGGTCTTGGCCAAATTAAAAATAGCAAAAGCAATTAATTAACATCTAACATATATGAGAATCTCGAATTTTCTCTACGGCGAAACAAAAAGCATTAAGCAAACATTTAACATAGCGAAAAAAAATGTCCTGGAACCTTTCAGAATTTTGATGTAAATTTTGTGGCTGGGGAAATGTAGACATTATACAAATGGATGTCTGAAAGAATACATAACGTCAATGCACGAGGAGATGCCGTGGTGTGGAGTAAACTTGATTTAGGGAATGAATGGAGTCAGGTAATGGGGTATATGTGTAAATATCTTAATATTTAATATGAAGTTTCTAATAACTTTAATAATGGTGGGAGCGAAAATGAAAATGCTCCATGAAAATGCAATTTCGAATGACAAGCAATCTTCTACAAAAATGAAAAAAATTTTTTTTTCGAAAAGATTGTATATATAGAAGAGAAAAGGCAATCATATCTTTTAAAGTCAATAATAAGTCCATTGTTGGAAATGGAACTTTAATAAAACTTTGAAGGATTGAATATATGATCAATGAGCTTTTGGCTCAATTAGAAGCAAAAAAAGAGAGAAGTAGTTATTTTATGAGAAGTTATATATACTTTGTTTATAACTTATTTTGTTTTTCTAAATTAAATTTTATTTCTATATAAAATAGAAAAAAATTACATAATAACAAAAACGGTGGCCACTGCAGAAACATTAATAGTAATGGCAATATAGGCTAGTGATGTTAGCCGCTAAGAAATTTATCGGCTTAGCCGGCTTACACGGCTCAGCCGGCTAACATCACTAATATAGACAATAATGATATAACAATAATAATCGTAGCAGCGGTAATAGTAATAACTACTAATAATAACAACAACAATGCCAATATTGATAATAATAATAATGGCGGTAATAACTGCAAACAATAATATATCAATAATATTATTTACAAACCAAAGAAAAATTATCTCAAGTCAAGTGAAGTTTGTAGTTTATTAGAAATTAGTAAAGCATATATAAATATACTTGGTAAACAGTTTTACACAAATAAATCTATTTATTCGTTAATTGATGATTGATTTGGTATAATAGAGTGACGTCAGATACTGCATTAATCATTATCGAATTGATATGAATACAAAATTTTCAAAAACAAGATATTACTGTAGTTGCAAAAGGTAAATTCAAAAAAAATATATATATATATATACACCTTATCCCATTTATATCCCCCTCCTTTTGTTCCCATATGTTTTTGTCCCAGCTAAAGACACTTGCCGTAAGTGATTGAGCTGGTAGCTACCCATTGCTGTGAATGGCTGTTGGTAGCTGCTATTTGCTGTAAATAATTACAGCTTTCGCAAATAGTTTTCAGTTACTATCATTAGTATTATTAGTCATATTAGTCTTGCAAAAAATTATATCATTCGTTTATTATTCGAAATATCATCATTCGTTTATCATTCGAATTGTTGTCATTTGTTTATTATTCAATTGTATCATTTGTTTATTATTCGAATTGTTATCGTTTGTTTATTATTTGAATTGTCATCATTCGTTTATTATACGAATTGTCATCATTCGTTTATTATTCGAATTTTCATCATTCGTTTATTCGAATTGTTATCATTCGTTTATTCAAATATTTGTTTGCTTGAATTATTCATTTTATTTCATTTATTCGTTTTATTCGGATTATTTGTTTATTCGGACTATTCGTTTTGTTTTACTCGAAATTATTCAAACCATTCGAATTGTTCATTTTATTTCGAACTAGTCATTTATTCATTTATTCGAACTTTCAAATTATTTTGTTTATTCGTTTTATTCGAACTATTCGTTATTCGTTTTGTTTGAAATATTCGAATTATTCGTTTTACGAACTATTTGAATTATTTGTTTATTTGTTTTATTCGAATTATTTGTTTATTTTTTATATTTAAATTATCTATTGAATTATTTGTTTTATTCATCTTATTTGATTTGTTTATTTGTCTTATTTGAATTATCAAATTATCAAATTATTCATTATTCATTTTATTCAAATAAACTTCAATGTAATTCAAATCAAATTCATAACGTGTAAAACAAATGATTCGAATAAACCCTTATTCAAATAGAAACCCTAATCAAGCAGTATAGTTATATATAGTGATTTTAATTTAGTTTTCCAGATTTGGTGATCTGATCGCATGCTTGCAATATTTATTACAGTTTTACGACTTTAGGGTGTCAATGCTGAATTGTTGTAGTTCAGGTAAAATTTTAGATAAATCTTTAATATATTATTTGTGATACATATTTGTGGCTGAAAAAAAAAATTTTTTTTTTACAAATATACAAAAACCACAATGGAAAACATTTTGGATGAAAATAAACATCACAACAATACTTCTACTGACAAAAATGATGAATATTCAAAGAAAAGATATAGACATTTTGGGGAATGTCCAACATGCAATAGATATAATACTTATTATTCATGGTGTCAATCATGCAATCCAAAATTATTGACTGAAGGATGGACTAGTGGCAATGAAACATTAGATGAGTTGATTAAAAGTACACAACTTAAAGCAACAGGATATAGTAATCATTATTATCTTCAATGGATTCCTTATAATGATTTAACAAATATTGAAAAGATATGTGAAGGTGGGTTTGCAACTATATACAAAGCTACTTGGTTAAATGGTGAGAAAAGTATAAATTATAAAAATAATGAAAGAACTAGCAAAGATATGCAAGTGGCATTAAAAAAACTACATAATCCACAGAATATTTCTGATGAATTTCATAATGAGGTGAATTATTTTATTTCTTTGTTTATTTTGAGTTTTTTTAAATATTATTCTGAAATTCAATATATTTTTTTATATAGTTTAGAAATTATGTTATATTTTATGGTGAATTATTTATAAATAAAATTTATGGTTTAACACAAGATCCAGCTACAAGAGAATATATCTTTGTAATGGAATACATGAAAGATGGAAGTCTTCAAGATTATGAAGATCAATATTCAAAGAAAAGGGATAAAAAGTATGAGGAATGTCCAACCTGCAATAGATATAATACCAATTATTCATGGTGTCAATCATGTGATCCAAAACTATTAACTGAAGGATGGACTAGTGGCAATGAAACATTAGATGAATTGATT